CTTTCCTTGGAATGCAGAAGGTTCCTGCACAAGGGAGGCAACATGGACACAACTCACACAAATTAACACTGACCATGGCAAAACTCTGCAAAATCCAGGAGCACAGGGATCCACAGCTGCAGAAATTTAAATACTCACATGAAGACAAAAGGCTACACAGTTTTTTTTTTAATAGACAAGGAATTTCTGCAGTTTTATGTGCACATTCCGACTAGGGTAAATATTCCTGCTATGATAAATACTAACAAAGTACTGCTTTCAACATGGTCAGAAACTACATGGTTACAATTGATTGGAAAATAAAAATAGAGCAGGGAACAGGAGCATTGCATAAAGGATAGAGGGAGTTAGAAAATCTGTTAATTTTGTCGTTATGGGATATTCCACTTTCTTTTAAAAGTCCATCTTCTCTAGCCCAGCAAAGCCAATSACTCCTCCCAGCTGTGAGCACAGACTGACCCTCACCTTGGGGCAAACCCAGCACCCAAAGCACATGGTAAAATGCTCACCTGCTCCAGGGAAGGCAAGGTTTAGCATCTGAGATAAAAGTATTGCCATAAACAGAGCCTAACACATAAAAACASCCTGTGAGGCCTCAGGCACCTGTTGTGGTGCTGCAGATCACCCCRTGTGCAGGAGGACTGGGCTGCAGTCAGTGCCTGGAACGTGCCCTGAGCTATTTCCTACGTGCTGCAGCCCAGCTGACTGGGAAACCTGGGCAGCAGCAGTGGCTGGGAGCTCCTAGATACAGGCCTGCCCTGCAAAATTTAATCTCTGATCTTATTTCAAAGCTATAAAGTCCTGGTTCAACGGTTTTATCTTTCTTGCTTATGGAAAAAAAAAAAAAAAAAAAAAAAAAAAAAAAAAAAAAAAAAAAAAAAAAAAGCAGTTACTTGGAATTCTGGGCCTGGGTTTATATGTTGAATATCTTCCATATATAATGCAGCCTTTGCTGGTGTAATTTTATAAAAAAGAGAGGTACCCCAGCAGCACTGCTGAGAGAAATGGAACCTAAGAGTGAAATAAGAGCCAGCTGAGCTAGAAAAACAACTTTCTGTAGCAATTGGTTTGGTTACGTGACCGAGGGGAAAACAGCACAGGAGCAGAGGCAGGAGAGAGCCKGGCAGGGCCGTGCTGCTGGCAGGGAGAAGCAGCAGCGTCTGTCTCTGCTGTATTTACAATTATCCCCAGTAACAGAGGGATTTGACAACTCCAGAGACAGCGGAGAGGCGCCCATCAGCAGCTGCAGCTGATGTTGGTGCAGGGCTGGTGCTGCAGGGCAGCTCTGACAGAGAGGGGACACGGGACACAGCCCGAGGGRGAAAATGGGGAACAGCCCGGGATGGGACACGGGGAACAGGCTGGGCATGTCCCTGGGGCCAGGCAGCACCTGTGCCACACAGCAGGCCCAGAGCTGGGCAGGCAGGGAGGGTGCCCGGACAACAGAAGCGCTCTGGAGCCCGGCATCATGCAGCAAACACAGCCTGGAGCCTGATCCTGCTCCGGGCAGCGAGATCTGCAGCGCTTCAGAGACTGAAACACTGAATGGCACCAGAAGCTGCACCCCAGAGCACAAGAACTGGGGTTGGTCACTGCTTTTCGCATCCTGCAGGCTCAGAAAAGTCACAGAATCACTGAGGTTGTTGGAAAAGCCCTCCAAGACTGAGTCCAGCCTGTGTCTGATCCCCCTGTGTCACCCASCSAGAGCACTGAGTGCCACATCCAGTCATTCCCTGAACACCTCCAGGGATGGGCACTCCACACTYCCTGCGCAGCCCATTGCAATGTTTAACAACATTTTCCATGAGAAATGCTTCCAGATGCCCAGCCTGAGCTGGCACAGCCTGGGCCATGTCCTCTGTCACAAGGAGGAGGAGCAGCCCCTGGTGCTGCCAGCCCACAGAGCCTCCAGGTGCTCATTTAATTTGAGCCTCTGCCTTTCATCCATAAAACCACAGTGAAGAAAAGGAGGTGACAAGCACAACTAGTGAAASTTGGCTGCACAACTCTTCTTTTCAAGGCTGAAAAGCCACCCACAAAAAATAAACAAAAAAACTCCACATTCCAGCATCAAATATTTGCTTTAAAAATTAAATATTAGGCAACCTGCCTCAAAAAGCCCAATAAAGAACAGAAACAAAATTTAAAAACATTGATCTGAAGGAAAAAAAATAATTCCAAGTAGAAATCAATACTTATGGATTTTTTCATCCTTCTAACTAAAGATAAAATATGGTTATGGCTTCCAGCTATATCCCAATACCCCCATTCAGAGCAATTCTACTGGGCATGAAAAAACCAGAACACTGGCCTGGTACCAAACTGTAACAGCAATCATCAAACTAATATAATCAAACTAAATCATATGCCAAACAGTTCTGGAAAATCACCAGGCTGACACTGGGTCCCCCACAAATAAAAACCCTGAGCCCACATCTTGGGACATGCATAAATGCCAACAAAGAAAAATCTCAAATCTCTCAAACCAGCCCCCAGTACTCCGTGTAATTTTGATGTGAATTATGCTACAGCCCCTGAAAAGGCAGATTAGCCCCAAAAGCAGGAATACTGTGAGAGCAGGGATGCTGCAGGCAGAGCTGAAGCACAAAGCAGGGCAGCTGTGGCCAAGGCAGAGCTGTGGCTTTCTTGGCAGCTGTTTCAGTCAAGCACTGCAGAACTCTTGTACTGCAACACAAAACTCTGGAAACAAGGGAAATAAAAGACTCCAGCAATCACTTACATTTCTGTACCCTTCTGAGCTCTTTTGATGTTAATAAAGAGGTGGCATTTCCTGTCCCTGGAGAGCATTCATCAGCCACCTCCAGCACACACTGCTAACTGCTCCCTGCAGCCCCTACTTGCAAGTTCAAAAAGTTGATTTTGAGCATTAACAGCCCGGGCAAAAAACACATCAAATGAGTCACAGAGGTACCTCTGTATAGCAAATCCACAAATAAGTTAAYTGGCCATTCATGACATGTTGTTATATTAATTAAAGTAATTTTCATGTATATCAAAGTGGCCTACAAGGCCACAACAGCCATGGCTAATGGTGAATAATCCAGGTTCTAGGTGGGTAAGCAAAACCATGCCAAAACCAGGACTCTGTACCAGAATTTTTAGCTTTTCCTATTAACAAAAAAAAAAAAAAAAGCTGACTTCTAGAGATAGAGTAAGACCAGAAGATAAAACACCAAGGCTTTTCTGTGATAACCATTTGTGTAGGAAAAAAGGAGACATTATTCATAGCTACAGCCTGAAAACGGAAGAGATTCCCTTCAGTGCTTGACAGCAACTGCTTGGGATATGACAGATGGCACCTGGGATTGAGGTGGGAACAGTCAATGACTCCAGTATGAAGACTGCACTTCTCAGGTCTACGGCACTTCAAAGTTCATAAAATAAATCACAAACTTTACTGATTCTTTTTAAGAGGTTCAGCTGGTGAATGCTTTTTTCAGAGAAAGAATGAAAAACAACCTCCCAGTACCTTCTCAAAAAATGTCTGTGCAAGTCAAGTGGTCCTCCAGAGGCAGAAACACAAAGGCCACCAATTATTTCACAAATAATTTTGTGTAAATGTTTTGTTTTGTTTTAAAAACAGCACAGCAGCTCAAAATCAAATYAGCTATTTTTATCATGCTGTCTTGTACCTGGCAGCTCCATCTTGAAAAGCCATTATTGAATTGCCAAATTAAATGTACAGCAATTAAAAACTGGAGGAGATAAACTGAAAGCTGAGCTTGCAGCCCTCCTAATACAGTTAACATTATCAACACCAGCAGTGCTGCATGAATTTAAGACAAAAATGTAATGGGTCATTTTTACCTACTGTTTTTGCTTCCAGGGTTACTTACAGGGGATAGCAAAGGAAATAAAATTTTTTCCCCTCCCAGKTCTGCAGTTAATCCCCTTTTCACCAACACCTAGCTAAACACAAAGGAAAAATCATTTTTAAAAAAATCACTGAGCAGTGGAATGGACCCATAGAGTTGATGTAAATTTTGTGTGACAGCAATTTTGCCACTGTCTGAAGCTGCTGACTTCATCCTCTTGTCCAGGACAAGGCTGCATTTGGATTGGGAAGACTCAAACTCCCTACAGATCTCAGCAGCMATGGCTTTGAGGATCAGGCAGAGAGATTCAAATGCTGGACTCACATGGAAGTCAGGATTATTTATGAAGTGTCTTTGTTGCTCCCCAGGGCCTGTGGCACCCGAGCTGACAGAACACACATTTGTGCTCTTGCTGCCCCAGGACAGGGCTGAGGCACAAGGTGGCTGAAGGCTGTACATCTGTACATCCTCTGTTCTTAACTTACTGGTGAAATGGGAAAAGCAGCATCATCCTCTGCTCCAATCTCACAGAAAGTTACAGTTTCACCTGGCCCTGGAGGCTCCTCCACAGCCGCTGCCACAAAGCCATACTGACACTCCTTGTTCACACCCTGCATCTGGCGGCGGCTGCGGCTGTACCAGCTTGGAACACAGGAGGGGAGCAATCAGCACCACCTGCACTTTCACCCGGGTTTGGGTACTCATTTCTAACTCAGTCCTTGCTGCAGAGCCACAAGTAACCCTCTGTGTTCACCCAGTGCTGCAAACAGGCAATTTCTGTCCCCCCATCCTCCCCCACGACTGGCAGAGCAATGTTTGGTGGAAGAGGTTTGCAGTCATTGCCCAGGATCTGCAGGAGAAGCTGTCCCCRCTCTGACAGCCTCTCCTTCCCAGGCTGGAATTGGAATGCTATTTGAGGGCCAAGCATGTTGTACCTGAGTTTAGAGGAAAAAAGGTGCAATTACTAAGAATTATTCCCCTTCCATTTTCATGCTGAAAGCTTTCGCTGTTTTCTCACAAAAGGCTGGAGCAGCCTTGTCCCCCACAATTGCATTTCTCCAGCCCAGGCTGGGGACAGCTAATTGTTAGGAACATTACCTGCCAGTGACAAACGACCACTCAGTCTCATGTGTTCAATGCTTTTATTTTGTGCTGTCAGTGCAAATTAACCACCACAGCCACCACCGAATGTGCAACAGCTTCCACAAAACAAATCTTACAAATGTACAACAATATACAACAGATCAAAACATTATTCTTACRCTTTGCATAGCCATGAAACCTATGCACTATGAAGTCTGAAGAAATACAGCTATTACAAATATGTGACCACTAGAGGCAAAGCAGCTTTGTTTTGCGAAATCTGGRAAAATAAACTTATTTTAAACATTATTATCCCCCTCTAATGACCCTGTGACAATGTTTACCTGAGTTGTAGCAGCAGCCTGATTCAGTGCTTCAGCAAGAACCAGGTGTTTGAGTGTTCAGTGCAAGCCCTGACACAACGTGCCTTTAGTGACAGCATTTTCTCACTTTCTGCAGTCACATCCAAGCTGCTCCCTGCACTACAGTACTTTGCTCCTATGCTTTGCTAATCAACTAAAGCAACAGATCTTGTCAATCATAAACCTAAAGAGGAACATCAAATTTGAACGCAGTTTGATCAACTGGCTCAACTCACTAAGAAAGGATAACATTTACAAAACMATATTGGTAATAGTTGGCAAACAAGAAATGAGAACCCAAGAAGGAGCTCCTGGCTCCCAGMTTTACATTCCCTGAGGTGCTTCAGGAGGTGCAGGGCTAGGAGAGGCCATGTAGCCCACCTGAGGCGGTGATGCTGAACTCCCAGCCTTGGCCACTGGTGRGGAATTTCCATGGGGAGGATTTACTGGATGCCAGGGACCAATGTAGCAATAGGCAGGAACCACAGAGTCAAAGCCAGGCAGAGGCTGCTGGCTGAAGGGGTCTGACACCACTGGGTAATACACTGGCCCATAGGACAGGGGTGGAGGCTCTGTATTTTGGAAGTTACCTTAAAAGAAAAAGAACAAAAAGCACATTCACACACTTTAGCCACACTCATGACCTTCTTATGCAGGCTTTCTGACCATGAACACAGCACTGCTCAAATACAAACCATTGGATGCCTCCAAGGGAACCTGGTGGATTTCAGTCTGCCCAGCATCAGGGAAGAGCTGAGGCACTGACTGGTCCAGGACAGGAGCTGGCTCAGCATATGCTGGGTACACTTCTACTGGAGATGGAGGCAGCACTGGCTGCATGTACATCATGGAGGGCCAACAGCTCTGATGGCAGTACTTGGAGGAGAGGGAAAAAYATGGTCATGCATAGCCACATCCTCTCCCCAGACCCCCTCCAAATAACTACTACTTTCAGGTCTAAAGTTAGGAAGACCATTTTTTTTCCTTCCTAGCTCTTTAAGGCAAATAAATTAACAAAAACAACACCATTAAACCAATCGAGCCTACTAGAGAAGATACTGCAATACCTGCAGCAAAAGCCACGTGCTGCTGTAGTGTCAAAGGCTTTCCAGAGAAAGAAGATTCCCACTTATTAACTTTGTCATACTCAGAGATTTTGCCTATTTCTTCAGTTRAAGGATGTTGCCTTTTTAACTTCCCTGAGCAGCAGCACTGATACTGCATTTGACTGCTGCCACAGAGACAACTCTTCAGCAGAGCAGGTTCCCAGAACACAGGGAAATGGTGCTAAACCAGCCTGAGTACAGCTGCACAAATCCTATAAGACTCAATCCACACATCTCCAAGTGCTCTTTGAGGTCTTATCTAAGTACACAAATTCTCTTAAGAATGGCTCAGGTTCTTGCCCTTTTCTTCAGAGAAAGAAAAATATTTATCCACCATCAAAAAACCCAAAAAAGCAAAAAAACTGAAAGTAAAACCAAAACAGCAGCACCACCACAACCCACAAAACAAATAATATAATGTACTTCACATTTTGATTTGGAATTTCATTTCCTGAGCCATGTTTTAATCTCCACCAAGAAAGTCTATCCATATTAATAATCATATGCACAGAATGCACATTTAGGACACTTGGAAGTTTTGAATACATCAGTACATTTGTCAAGAAACCCAGCAGTTTTTACAGACAATTTACTACACTCATTTTAAAAGCACTTACTTGCAATCCCATATTAAAATAATACCGCAAGACCTTTGTATCTGAAATTAAAGGATATGACATTAAAGAGCAGAGGAATATAAACCAAGAGACAAAAGAAACTTATACACATAAAGAACATTTTATTTTAAGTTACTCTTACTTAATGAACAACAGTATTTCAGCAYTCCTTTTTCTTTCAAATGTTAAGGGTAAAGAATGTATCTTGAATATAAATAGTTGTTAAACTGCTTTTATCTTTTCAACTAAATCCAGTCACATATTTGTGCAACAGTAGAACATTTGTCTTACCAACTTATCTAACTCAATGACTACATTACCTTTAACTTTAGTTTATTCGTTTTGATTACTCAAGTGATAACTGTCAGTGCTGTTACAAGTCTCCACTGTTTAAGCAACAAGGACTTAATTCTGGCTTCCTGTTAAGGGTGGTTTTTTAAAGGAAAAAGTATTTTCTCAAATGGAAATTTGATTATGAGCCCCTAAATTAAGCTGACCACTAAAAGCCCTCCCTCACCATAGGAATGAGGAAGGATCTGGAAGCTTGCAGACAGGCAGGAGCAGCCTCCTCACACACCCTCCAGTGACAATTCACCCCCAGAGTTATTAAATACACTGCACACACTGCAAATACCCTCTCTGGGCTGGCACACAACTTGACAGCTCCACACTGCTGCTGCCTGGTGTTAAATGTGGCTCTGGCACCAATCTTCCTTCAGAGCTTTACTGAGCCATGACCACAGGGATGTGYCAATGGGGACAACACACAGAGCAATCCTAAGACCTTCTCACCTCATTCTGGGGCCCCACAACTGTTATATTAAACCAAATGGGRGTAAGGAAGGCCAAATAAGAAATATATTCATCCCTCCCCCTTCCTCACAAGGGCGCTCAGTGCCCTGCTTTCTTGCAGAGTCTTTTACTTCTGYCTTCCCTGCACTGAATCATCTGTCCCCAGCCAAGTAAATGATAGGCTGAGAAACAGTCCCAGATGTGTGAAGGACCTTTGAAACTTCTCTCCAAAAGCAACAGGATTTTGAACTTAGAAACACATTTCTAAATGTCCAAAACCTGTGGAGCAGCTTTAAACCTTCAAAGTTGACCATTAAAAGGAAAGRAAAGTGTGTGTTTAATCCCATGGTGCAGTTCTGGAACTGTATATGACAATAATGGATTTCTTAGATTCCAACACAGATTTGCTTTAAAGTCTCAGGATRAGCAAGTGACCTATTCCACAGCACAGGCTTGGAGCTCCCAGCTGTGCTAAAGCCAAGGGAGAGCAGAGACAGCTCAGAAGGAGCCAGTAAGGGATTCAGCTTAGCAACACCTCCAGAGTTACCACCTATCCCATCTTCACAGATGCCCACTCTGCCCTAGACCAGGTYTGGGCTCCACAGTGCCTCCCCACCCACCCATCTCCCACACCTTCTCCAGCCCTGCTCTCTCTGGCACTTTGTGCCATATTTTGCTGCAGGAGGCACACCACCAGCAAAGCCAACCTGTTTTTAAACGCACAAGGATTTGTTCATCTGTTGCTTCTGCCAATTCTCAATTCTTTYACTGTTCAGCACATCTAACAGGGCAATAAATCAGGCAGCTGTTTTAGGAAGTGCACACAGATCCTTCCTTGGTCCTGGACCTGTTGGTGATCTGGCTATAGCACTGACCGCAACCAGTAAAATATTAAAAATAACCCAAAGGCTTCCACAAATGCAAACTTTTTAGTATCTAGCTGAAACTGCATCTACATCTGGAGAAAGTTGGGCTTTTTTTTAAATCAAATTTTGTTCTTCAAATCTTTATGCAAATCTATGCAAAGCAAGCATAAGAGCTGAATGAAACAGCTGTTTCCATAGAAGCGATAACAGTACAAAAGAATTGCTGGGAGACTGAAGTGACAAACTGATCCTGGAAATACTGAGGTCTGTGGAATGCTGGAACAGAMGCCAGTACAGCAGGAGAGCATTTTTTGTTTATATTCCTCTTTTAGATGTCTGGAAATCAAGTCCATCTTCAGTAAAATGTGACAATTTTACAAAGCAACAGCTAAGCCAAAAAAAGTTCTATTTTCATGTCAAGATGGATAAAGACCATGTTGACCCCTGATAAAAATCTCATCTCCTGGTAAGAGATTTTACTGTGCTGATGGGAAGCTCTGGCCAATCCTGAACACAGTAATAGCAACAGCTCTGTACCAACAGCTCCCTCAAATACAAAGCACCAGGCAAGGGCAAGACACCCAGGGTCACAGTGTTAATAAATACACTTGCCAAGTTCTAAATGCCATTAAAGCAAGATGCAAGACACAATGAAAACTGGAACAAATGCAGATATAACAAGTAATGCTAGAGCCAAGAGCAGGCTGTCCTCCCAGGTGCAGGAATTCAGTCTGTTGGCAAGTTCTGCTCCCCATCCATGGTGTCTTTAACAAAGCACACAGAACTCTAGATCAGGCACATCCACATACTTTACCCTGCCCTGCTCCAAATCTGCTGGGTTTTACATTAAAGGCCCTATAGATTCCACTCCAGCAGTGTCACATAAATGCTAAGTGTAATTTCTTATTAACTAGCAACTTTTRAAATTCCTACAGTCTGTGCCAAGGGGGACATGGCCAATATGATGTGGACTGACTCAGTTGAAGAGCTCCAGGCAGGTCTGGAGAGATTATTCATCCATATCCACTCCAGATTCTTGYCAGCACACTTAACACCCAATTCTCCCAAGTGGGGAAAGCCTCAGTTAAGGACATTCAACCAAAGCTGGAAAGCAGAAACTCTGATGTGTGCATAGGATCAGTCAGTCACACGACCACAGCAGGGAAGGCGAAAACAGAACAACCAAGACTAATAAACCTTGGATTTGAGGGCCCAGGCAAGACAGCAAAAYACCTGCAGAGAATGGCAGCAGCACCTGTGACAGCAGCAGCCTTGGTCTCTGCATTGTCACTGCTGAGCAGCTGAAAGGCACCCCAAACCCTGTTCCARCTGATGGCAGTATGTGACAAAGCTACACCCCCAAGGAACAAGCTGACCCTACATTTTAGCCCTTGTTGGTAACACTGCAGAATCACATCTTGGAGCCACAAAGCAAACCAACCAAAATATCCCACTGAACTGCACAACAGCACAGCTCTATAAATACACAATTCTTATTTTAATCAGTTAGCAGAAAAATGATTACTCTGCCACAAGCAAGTATGATATAAGCTAACTACCCTTTCCTTAGGCATTTATTTTTTTAGGATGCTGTCTAGAGCTGCACTATTCACATATTTGAGTCAGACAAACTTTCTGTTCAAAACTGGGAATGAAAATGTTTTATTGTAAGTATCTAGAATATTATTTCTCTCTCCCTGGGAGTTGCAAAGAGCCATTTTTTCTCACTATGTATTCTCACTTGGTTTCTGTTAAGCTTCCAGGGAGAACACAAGTCAGAAGTGTRCTGGAAAACAGCAGTAAAAGCACAAAACACCATCGTTACCTCGAGGCAGATCACTGCCATTGGGATCACAAGAGTAAGCTGGAACAACTGCACTGGCATCTCCCACCTCACTCACTGCAGGAAGAGGAGCTGAGTAAACTGGGAATGGCACTGAAGAAACTGCTACAATTAGAAAGAAACCAATGTCACCCAAAAATATCAACTTCACCATGGTATGTCAAACAAGCAAGGTGCTAAGTTACACAATTCAGMAGGTACTTTGACACCTCAGCACCCCTAAATACAGGCACCAACAAAATTCTGTTTAGCAATCACTTTGAAACCTTCCCAGCTAGTTTTAAAATTTCTTCTGGACACTTTTCACTATCTCAAGCCTTGACTGCTTTTCTATCTGCAAGCTGTATATCCYAGTTAAATGAAAACAAAGTCTCTTTCTCAATTACTTCTTCATATTGGAAGGCAGGCCAGACTTCGCTTACATAACTAACTCCCTGTCCTAGAACAACAGAATAGACTAATCACTTCAAGTCATCAGAAGTGTGACAGTAAAACCCACAAAAACAAGAGAAGGTTCAASATATGTCAGGACAAAAAATTCTTCTGTACAGACAACTGTTAGAACATTCATTTGGGTGGCCACACCTCTAACACAGCAGCAGGTTGGCAYCAGGGAGCAGACAGCTTTGAGAACCGTGCTGACTAAACTCTCATGCAGTGTACAAAAAAAGAGAAATAAAAAAGTGAGATAGAATTGAGCAGAATAAAAGGTGGAGTTTTTTTASATGCCAAGTGAAAAGTTGTAGAAGACAGAAGTGCTCTTTGCAAGAGGAAAACCATTTTTTCATAATAACCATTTTCTGAGAGCAAAGCAGGGACAGTACCTAAAGCAGCAAGTGCACCCTGTGACTACCCACAAACCTGATCTACTTGTACAGAAATAACTGAACAAAAAACAAAGGGTCACAGAAATGAACTGAACATTTGTGTGGATCCTGAAACACCACAGCCAGCAACTCTTCTGGAAGTGAAAAGCATTCTAGAGGCTTACTACCTCAGCTCAAGAGGAAAATTCATTGTGGGAAAGGGGAGGTGAAGAGAGCTGCACTGAACTTCTGCCTGCTGAAAAGAACTTTCTAGCAAACATTAGGCATTAGTGGTAAGGGGGGAATGCAGAGACTTGCAACTGCCATAAAAATTCAGGGGCAACTGTCCCTTCTAAATGAAGTCAGCAGCCAAGTTACAACAGAGTATTTTTAAACCAAAACAAGTGACACTTTTTTTAAGCCTTTTAACATTTGTTTTGGATGTGGGGAGGAAGTGAGGGGAAAACGTAACTGAAAACTTGGCAATCCAAGTCCACAGCTGCAGTCTGTACACTCTACCTGGCCTCCCCACAGAAAAGGGAGATACTATGACAGGCTGAACTGCTGTTTGTGGGGGAGCTGCTGTTATGACACCGGCTGGAGTGGAGGCAGCAGAATTTGGAGAGAGACCTGTAGCTGGAGCAGTATAAACATCTGTGGAGATGGAAACTGTTGCAGAGTTCACCAACACCTGGAAAAGAGTCAAGGCTATTCAACAGTCTGCCTCTGCAGCTGGCTTTGACAAAGACTATAAAAACACTGCATACTTCAAAAATTCTCACTTCACACAAATGCATGTTGTAAATCCTATCTGTAAAGGCAGCTAACTATCCAAATTCTCAAAAAATTGGCTTGAAAATATCAGTTTAGAGTTGCAGAGACCTGCAAGGCATCTTCTGTTTTGCTTGTATTTGCAGGAAATTGCATTCTCTGCTGCAARAGGTCCCCACAAACAGACACAGTCTGAGCAGAGTGGTTCCCTCTCCACAGGGATACCACAAAAAAGATACAATTCAGAGGACCAGACACTACCTTCTGGGGATAGCTGTAGGAAGCCACTTCATCTGGAGGTGACACCGAGACTGGCCCTTCTTCCTGAAGGGATTCCAAAGCAAAGCATGGTCCATTTCAGTGGCCAAGAAGCCACAAGGCACAAACACCATACCCATATTTTACTTTTTTTTTTTTTTTTTTTTTTTTTAGTTTATGGACTATACACCCAGAGTGTCTTTTGTAGCTTAGCTAATATAGTTTTATTCTGACATGCTCAGGACTGCTTTCACACCCACTGTGGAGAAGCAGGTGACTTAAAGACTTGGTTTCAAGTTAAAAAAATTAAGAAATCCAAGATAAGTTCTATCATGGATGRGATCACTCCAGTCCCACAGTGGAGGGCTAAGATTAACTAGAGCATAATCTGAAAATCAGCCTGATAAAAAAAAAAGTGCTGTCTGGAGCAGAAAAAGAAAAGTACACAGCACTCAAATACACTTTCTCTTTGCAGAGGGATAGGTGGAAAAATCATTAACGTATCCAGTRCATTTCAGACTATACTTGAAGACTCAGATAAGGCCCTCACCATTTTGGGAGGAAAAGAAGGGTGAATATATAAACAAAATTAGTGTCCCTTTCTTTCATTAAGTCTCTGGCCTACTGTACATCCAAGAACAGTTTCCATGAAGAATGTCATAAACCTAAAGGTTCCCAAATCTGAACAGTGTCAGTAAAACTTACCAAGTTTGCTGCAGGCTCTGCAGCAAACACTGTCGCAGTCTCACAGCTGGGATCTGGAGGCATAGGCAAAAAGAGCTGCATTAAATCTAATCCTTCAGAAACTTATAAACAGTTCGTAATGAATAGTACAGTCACCTAATGTTCTATCAGTAAATACGAAACCTTTACTTACCTGGAGGTGCATAGATATATTCCTCATGAAATTTCCCTACAAAGGAGAAAGAACAGGAAGTTTTGATCCAGGGAAAAAAAAAAAAGAGCAAAAAAGCTTCAAGCTGGGGTTACAGCAATTACAGTAGTGCATCCATTAACAACCTACTTTCAGTATCATCTTACTTTGTGTCTCCTTTAGGACATGTAAGGAACCTACTTTTGACAATCAAAACCACATTGGCAATCTTTTAAATGTTTTTTTTTTTACCTATTAATCCTTTGAGAACCCACCATTTTCAGTTGCTTCTTCCTCCTCCTCTAAGGTACTCAAGATTTGCTTGTTTGATGAAACAGAGTTTGGGTTTCTCCTTGTTATCCAAAATCCCCCTGGGCCAGGGACAATRGGAGCAGGGCTGGTCTGGGTCTGAAAAGCAGTGTCAGAAGCATGCCTTTAGAAATTATTTAAAGCCTTTCCATGCTCTAGAGACRCACAGAGCAGAAACAGGCACACCCAGCTTGCTGCAGCCAAAGCTTGCTAGAAGCATCATCTGTGTGTCTGTTCTAATGCAGCTCACTGCAACATGTCTCTCCTTCACCTTTTGTTCTGCCTTGCAGGCTTAAGGCAATTTATTCTTGAAGATCCACCACTGTGCTACGGCATGCAGTCAAGCTGCTCCCTCCCACAGCCTAGCCAGCTTTATCCCAAGCTCTAACAAAGCCCAAAAGGAGGGAGCAGATCCCAGACGAGGCTGCTACCCCCAACTTTATTACTGCATTCCTCATTTTAGAGCATTCCCATCACATCACCAGCAATCAGTTCATCCAAACACTGATTRTCATGGAAAAGGTTATCTTTGGTCCCAGTTAGTGGAACCAATAGGTGGCTGCTGGCATAGACACCACTGCCTGCACTAAGCTGACCCACAYGTGCAAACCTGACTATTTCAGAAAGCAGCACACATCAAGATTTCCCACAGCACCCCTTGCATGTTTTACAGGCCCTTTGTCTTTGCACTGAAATCAGTCTTTAGCCGCACCACAATGTAAAAGATTAGTTCTCTGAAGCAGGAATACAGAATTGAGATGCKTGAGTAAAAAAGCTGATTCACTCTCTTTTGTGACACTCAAAACCCTCCTCAGAAGACTCTGGTGACTATGAGATGGATAAAGTGCTCAGAGAGGCCTGAAAGATTTCCAAGGTTGAAGCAGAAGTGAGAAGWCAGAAGATTCTCCCACCAGGCCTCTAGCAGCATGGCAGAGTCCTCTGCAAGATGCATCTTTCCCCAGGAAATGTCATATTCCTTTACTAAACAAGACAAGGAAGAGACAGAGAGAAAGCTTTGGCATTGACAATAACAAAGTCACTGAATGAACATGAAAACCTATTCATTAGGAGCTGCAGGCAGAGTCTAGCAAGGGGGAGGAAAAGCCAGTGAACTGTATTGATTTCATGCTGGAAAAAAAGAAATTGCAGGTTAATATGTCCTTATTCCTTGGCACTCTTGGAGGAAAAATCAGAGCAAAGATTACAGATCTAGTATATCAGAGCAAAGAAAAAATGACTGGTGCCTAAATACCSCTAAGCACATTCCCWTTCCCTCATTTAAATACATGTCTAACACTTGTTAAGTTCACTGCTTCAACAAAGAAAAAAATTCAAACATACCACAGCTTTTTTTAGGTTTTCTTTTTCTTTTTTTAAGAACTGCTTGCCTATTCAGATACCTATGCATAAAATCATTTTTCTTAGCAAACCTAGTCCAAAGTTGGGTGTAGATACAAATTAGAAAAAAAGGTATTTTAAAACTTTAAGAAGACACTCTGCCACTTTATCTGCAGCTCAACAAAAAGACTGGTTTAAGAGAAGTCTAGATTTGTAGTCATTTCCTGTTTCTGTAGAAAAAGAAACTCTGTCAGGAACAATATGCTAAATCCAAAACACCACAACTATAAATTCTTAGGAGAAATCCAGGCTATCACTATCTGCTTTCTGAATCTTGCTACCCACATGATAAATTATGGTGTGGCAAACAAGTGAAAAGCTTTCTCCCACAATATTTAGAGCTAGACAGACATGCACGTGAGGAAGAGCTTTTGTTTTCAAACTGCAATCGAAAGAAGAAACATGACTATGTTTATGAAAATATACTAAAAAGAAAACAAGTATTGCTGGTGAGGGTATAAAGCAAGAAGGGAAGCATTTAGAAAAACTGAGGTTTCAAGCACATTTTACAGCAACTAGACTAATTTCAGTCTTCCATTCTCARAAGCACATTCACTGCTAAACCTTAGTCCAAGAAAACAAAAGCTGTTGTATATTTAGGTAAAAAAGTGCTGAGCATTCATACAGGTTTCTCTCCTCCTCTCTCTCTAGGAGAGGCTCCAGCTTACCCTTTGTTCATAACTTACTGGTGAAATGGGAAAAGCAGCATCATCCTCTCCTTCAATCTCACAGAAAGTTACAGTTTCTTCAGGATGAGGCTCCTCCGCAGCCACTGCCACAAAGCCGTACTGACACTCCTTGTTCACACCCTGCATCTGGCGGCGGCTGCGGCTGTACCAGCTTGGAACAACAGAGGAGGGGAAGAATCAGCACCACCTGCAYTTTCACCCRGGTTTGGGTACTCATTTCTAACTCAGTCCTTGCTGCAGAGCCACAAGAAAGCCTCTGTGTTCACCCWGTGCTGCAAACAGGCAATTTCTGTCCCACCATCCTCCCCCCTCACTGGCAGAGCAATATGTGGTAGAAGAGGTTTGTAGTCACTCCCCAGGACCTGCAGAAGTTGTCCGAGCTCTGACAGCCTCTCTGGCCTGGGCTGGGGTGGAATGCTGTGACGGCCAAGCATGTTGTGCCTGTCTATAAATTGGTTAGATCCCCTGAGTTTAGAGGGGAAAAGGTGGAATTCCCACAAAGTGCCTCTCAGCTATAGTTTTACCTATTGAGCAACAAAAATCCCCTCCTAACCAGGCTGCAGCAAGAATRAAAACAAGTGGCCAGTTCAGGTTTTCAAGGCTCCCTACCTCGGCATGCCAGATTCCCGGTGGTGTCTGGGAGGATTCTGCTGGTGATAGGGTTTGTAGGGTGCCATATTTGCAGCACCCTGGGAGCAGTGAACAGCAGGGAAGCGCCCTGAGGGAACACTGTGCTGCAGCCGGGGTGGCAGCATTGGCTGTCCCCTGCTGTAAGCCACAGCCATGAAYACTTCCTTCCCACGGACCTTCTTGAGCATCCTCTTCCGTGTTTTCACATCCATTTCTGCAGGTTCCATGGAGGACAAAAAAGGGAGATTTACACCTTAAACCTGAGATATAGTCTCAAATGATAAAGAGAAGACTTTGTATCTGGACCCATGGAAAAGAAAGCCAATAAGCCTATCCAGAAAAAATAAWTTTTAAGCATGGAAACTCCAGACCCTTACTTTTAAAAGGATCAAGCAGACATTGTACATGATGAGAATACAAGGATCTCACATGCCATACCTTCTCAGCTTCAGCTGATCAAACCAGCACTCAGTGTTAAAACCTCTCTYATGCAAGCTGTATTTATTTATAGAATAAAAGTAAAAACCTCAACTCCTACTCCAAATTAAACAGAATCTATATTTAATTGGCTGGGGAAGCCCATGCATCTCTGCTAATGCCAACAGACAAGCTCTCTGGTTCACTGATGTGTCTTTTTATATGGTTCTCAAGCAGCAAATTTGTTCTTGGCAATTTTGAGCAATACCCAATTTGCTCTGTATTTCAATGGATTTGCTCTTTTTCAAAGGCAAATTCATCTCTGAAAGATGATATTACATCAAACCCGCACAGTGACCATGTTTTATATCACAGGCTGCATGAAGTCACTTCCAATATCCAAAGACTGCTACAGTTACAACTGCCACGAGCACCTCCCCTACTTCCCAAGGAAAGGAACGCTTCCAGAAACTTTGTACAAACCTATTCCGGAGAAGTGTCCACCCGTTACTTTCTGATAGGCTCCTCCTCTTCTGTTGTGAGCCATATTCCAAGCAAGGACAGGAGCAACCTGTGTCACTGGCTTTAAGTTTGCCAAAGGAACTGTGTGCCTGCAGGAAGGACACCCATGTTAGATGTTGGGAGTGCCCCAGGGATACGCTCTGGACAACACAAAGTCAAGCCACAAAAACAGAAGAAAATAGTTTGTGAAAATAAATAATCTGTTTCTCTGGCACCAAACACACACTACTGCTACTTGGTTAATAAAAGAAGACATACTAGGCTTTAGTCCCAACACTATTTACTTCCTAGGGCAAGCCTCTCTCCTCTACATTTGTATGCCTCCAGAGGCACAACACAGAATTTTTGCATTTTTGCAGGGTGTTATCAATCCCAGCTTTGGAGGAGGGTGAATGATTGAACAGCAAGGGGGAGCAAGTTATTAGATTCACCAGAAGTGCCAATTATTTCGTTGCTTGGGTACAACATAAAAACTCCAGAGAACCTAACAGCAGAGGGCAATTTGCGCTCTGTGAATTAAGCCCAAACTGCCAAGATCACTTTTACATTCCAGTGAAGGAAGAGCAGCAGGATTTCACAGAAAGCATTACAATAATGATTTTGGTCATTAGAAATCCAAGAGAAAAAGAAAAACCCTCTCAACCATAAAGAGTTCAAATTTGAAATCATCACCACATTGCTTACTTTTCTGCCAGCTCCTCAACAAATACAGTCAACGTGCTGCTATCCTGTCCAACTTCCTGGATATGAGCATTGTAATACTTCCCTCCTGGTTCCAGACATACCTGGAGAGAGAACAAGGGAAGTTCTAAAAAAACCCCAGCTGCATCAGAATATTGTCTACAAACCACTAATAGCAAAGGCTTCTCCTAACCAGTCCTACAATACTGGAACAACCACGCCCAGGAGTCTCAAATGCTTCYTCAAAATTGCAGGCAAAATAAAGAGCACTGTGCAAACTTCTGGGAGGATAAAAGGAAATAAAAATCAGTCTTGTGAGCAACTGAGAGGCAAGATAGCTGCTCCCTAACTTATTTTTATCCCCTGTGCCCAGCAGATAAGTACCAAGAAAGACTGCTGCTTAAGAGCTTGAGGAGAACAGAAGATAAAATAGGAAAAAGGAAAGCTCTGCTCAGTGAGAAACAAGTCACTGAGTGAATCATCAGCACTACCTTAAAGAGTGATAAAAAACAAGCCCTCACTACATACGACATCAGAATACAAAGAAAACTGACCTTCCTTTCAGATCTCCTGTCCAGATCATTCCACTCCTCCCTTTTTTAGCTCTCCCCTTTTTATTTTATAAAAATATTTTGGTACCTCACTGTTGAGAAAGAAGACTATCCAAAATTGTCACTTAGTCCAAGTAAAAAATCTAAAGACAACTACATCAAAAGGACCTCCTGTACATTTTGAGCTCTGCCTGGAACTTCCACACTTAGAGAATGTGTATGACTGGTTTACACTGAATTCCCAAACTGCTTTTCCTTCACATTACAAATTTAAAGATAGATTTTAGAAAGAAATACCATTTAAAAGAACATCTACAAGGAAGAGAATGAGAAAAGCCTTACTGTAAAATCAAATGATTTCATGGTTTATCATAGACCATTTAAAGCAGTTTTAAGTTTATCGTAACCGTGTCTCCTTTGAGTACTAACCTGACACTTGTCTCCTAAATAGTACTGTCTCCCAGCAAACACCATGTAGTCAGTTTTTTGAAGCTCTAAAAATAAACAAATAAATAAAAGGGAGAAAACCTTTAAACTACTGTTCTTACTTCACATATCCTACAAATACTTCATGACAGCATCCAACTAGAGTTTATAAACCAATTGAGTTAAATAATTCCTGTGCATAGCTGAACATTGCCCACAGTAGCAGTGGAGTAACTCTAGATGTTCTTATAATAGACCATAGCCAGACTAAGTCRCATGAGACCAATAACATCCAGATAACGCAGTAAGCAGCACTACTACTGCACCAATGCATCTTCTGTGATGACACAGAGTTAATTCTGCATTTAATACAAATCCTGAAATTAAGAATGTTGGACAAGTCTTATCTTGCCACAGCCCCAGTGGCACTTGGCAAACCRAAATGTCATCCAGGAAAAGCTAACATTGCCTGAAGTCTCCTTGCTGTTAGATTTCAGCTTTTTTTACCTCTGTTTCTTGCCTGGCTTCTCTGCACGTCAGTATTCTACTCAGATAATTGGTTACCACACTCTGTTCCAAGAATTTTAATGATCCTCATTACTGATTACGCAGTGGTAAAATGCTGGAGTTCTTCCGCATGCAAAGCACTTTGGGTCAGACATCAAATATCACTTAAAAACTTATCTTTCTTGGTAAATCCTTGCTTTACAGATCAGCCATAGTGAATGCCAAAAAGCAACCAACCTTTCCCAAGCCATGAGAACCATGAAATTTCTACAGAATGTTAAAGCCCAGGAGGGCTGGGAAGCAGGAAAAAGCTCATCTCATTTGACAGATCTCAATGCTAAATTTGAGATCTTCATTATTATACAATTCTGAGGCCAAAATCRTGCTATAAAAAGGAGTCTTTGCACACATGCTGTAACAAAAAACTCTCACATTTGAATGCCTTCCAATACAACAGAATGACAACAGAGTTCTGTACTCTGCTTTGAATCCTCCTATTTCCTATACACAGTAAGTAGCAGAGATCAGATTTTTARCGACTTTGTACCATTACACAGTATCAGAGGCCGTGCATTTTGTACCTTCAATGGCAGACAGGAAACGTAGGACATGTCCTACCTACAGCTATCTGCTRGGTTCACCTGTGCCCTTCACATTTCAGCTGTGAAGAAACAGCTGATAGGACTCAGATTCATGAATTTAATGCTAAGCCTGCTACAGGAAGTGTTTTTTGACTTTTCCCTTCCCAAAGATACCTTTTCTGCTGTCCAGCCAAACATCAAACTCCACATTTCGATAGATGGAGGAGTCCAGTGCCTTTAGGACTTTATAAGGAACAGGCATCTTTGGAGGATTTTCTGGAGGCTAAAAACAGAATTGGAATGGAGTATTAACAAGTGCATTTCACATGTTCAGCACAGTCTCTATCCTGCCAGCATCTGTAGACCMTTTTAAAACCTACAGATGCTATTTTCAAAAATTTTCACTTTCATTGTATTTCCCTAAAAACTGAACTCCAAGCATGAAAGCAGATTTAGGCACTCAGGTGCTGAGCAAACAGACTTTAGAAAGCACTGGGGCAGGCTCAAGAGTAACATTTGGCATTTCTGTACTCAGAAGTTAACCAGACCAGTGAAGCCAAAGCTTCAAAAGTCAGTGAGAAGTTCAGCTATTGTATCTGAAAACTCCACTTCTGTAGAGCTTCTAAAACTATTCTAAAGCAATTTATACTGTGCTCAAGACAAGAGCAAACCAATCTAAACTGTTTTCTGGGGAAAAAAAGCAAACCGAGAAACACCTGCTAAGCTCAATCTTTTGGGGGAAATAAGAATTAGCTACAGAAGAACTAGAGAACTTCAGAGATAAAAAGTGCATTTCCAGTTTAAGAGAAACTCAAGAGCAAAACAAAAAAAAGTAGATGGAAGAAATAAGCCACCCACTTTCCAAAAAACCATTTTTAGTAAATAGTAAAGAGGATTTAGCCCTAACAAGGGTAACATTATACAACAGAAAAAAAACCACCCCAAATGCAAATCATAAGGACTTTTCCCCTGACAAACCTTTTGTTCTTCAATGTCTTGTTTGAATTTAGTTTCCTGCGTGTTGTCAGTATCATTGCCTTCCCAGTCATCCAGTCTAAGTAATTGAAAACAAGATTACAAACAATGCAACACACGATTTCTACCAGAATTAATACCACCAACTGTTCATACAGCCTGAAAAAGCACCATGGTGCCATCAAGTGGTACATTTTGCTTTAAACACTAGTGAAGTGCAATGCAGTGCAGGACAAACCTTTTCCAAGCTTTAAGAACATAACCTTTGCTTGCTCCAACACCCACCCCTAACGAGGGCTACTGCTTGTGTTAGGAAAGAATGAATGTGATCCCACTGACTGATTAAATTCTTGCACTGTCAAGCATAAAAAGACACTCTRTGCCAAGTCCCATCAAACCAATGTTGTCTGAAAGCATTCAGAGGCAACTCTCAAGCTTTCAGAGCTATTGGAGGCTTAGAAGAGTAGCAAGTTTCTCATTTAAAAAAGTAATAAAAAAGCTCTAATGAAATAAGGAGCAATTTTACTTACAAATTAGCTGTCATTTTACAGAATAACACACCACTATAACCCAGCCTGCAGCAGAAGACACTCAAATTACGTGACACTTCCCAGCTCCAAGGAAAGCACACTCTCTTCCGCGATATACTTGTGCTTTGTATTTGTGTCATGACATAGAAAAAAAGAGTTAATATTTTGTAAAAATTCATAGAAACTTGGAAAAGTTGTCCTCTGCAAAGTTTTAAAGGCTTTTTTTCTTGCTTCCCTCTCACCAGATCCCCTTCCCAATATACTACCTCTTTTCTGATGGATTTCTGGCCTCTTTTTCATGGAGRCAACCAAAGTTTGCATCCTCACTTCCTACAGGACCACTGTTTCTGTTCTTCTTGGATCCACTTCGAAACACCTCAACTGCAGACCTTAATTCTTCCTCATCCATGCCAAACACATCTTTGTACAGGATCTCATATAATACAGCTGAACAAATCAATACAAAGCWCGATAATACGAGATCCGTAAGAACTGCTGCAGTTTTCAAGGCAGGCGTATCTTCAGGTACTATCTACTGTTACAAGGCAGTAGTGACATTAAATGCAGTTAGGGACAAGATCATAAAGTAACTCAGCTGAARGAAGGGATCTCTGGATGTCATTTGGGCCAATACCCCACTTAACAGATAGAAAAATGAGTGTATGCATATTATGCCATAAGTGAGCTTTCATGGCTCTTCKCCCCACCCCTGAAAACTGAAACAAACCCTGCCTATAAACATCTGAAAACACACGGTTCTCTTCCATAGAAAAATGATTTCAAGTTTACCCTGGCAAATAGCAGCATTTTCCTGAAATTGTTTTGAATACACAGAGTCATAATGGCCGTTACCGGAACAACACAGTAAAATCTGGGAAAATAAAAAAAAGAGGCTTTAAGGCTGGAATGATGTAACCCCAAATTCCATCTGATATCCTTTCATTCTAGAGTTGACATMATCTCATAAAAAACTAAATGTTCTCAATATAAATATGAAAAAGCTATAGCATCACCTCAGAACTGAAATTTAGGTAAACTCGCTAAATTAGTTTTTTCTATCATACAAAAAACATCTGTAYATCCTGCTCTATTGAAGATGAATTATGAGTTTGTTTCCAGCATACSTCCAAAACCATCAATTGGCTCAGGAGGTAAAATAAATACAACTCATTGAATGCAGCACCCCTGAGACACACTGCCCCAAAAGTCAAAGGCACATTTCATCCTTCCCTTCCTGAGAGACTAGGAGAACACATTTACTTCTGTAGCCCTTAAAACCCTTGCTTTTTATAAACAGAAGAATTGCTTTCTACARCACATTTACATGGTGTGTCAATGCATCTGTCCCACCAAACCCCATTCTGGCACACAACCACAGCCAACTGCAAGGGGCAGAATCCCTCGGGCAGCTGTCAGCACGCTGCTAGCAAGGATGCTTCCCAGAAAGCAGCTCCCAGAGGGAGCCGAGATGCCAGGACTTAATTCTGTGTGCTCTGTGTATTCTGCCAACACAAGCTCTCCCCTCGTGGTGAGGAAGAGCAACACCAGAAGGAGCTGCTGCCTGCACTCGCAGTGTAATGACAGACAGCTGCCAACACTTAATGAGAGCTCTGGTGGGAAAGCCTGGGAGGGCAAACACACACTTAGACCATGCTGCTTGATTTTTAAACTCAACTCATTCTGGAATTACATTAAGCYACACAGGGAACTGTGTAGATGAAGAAAGAAGCATATATAAATGAAGACAACAATGCTCATCAACAGATCATTAACAGATCATTCAGAGCAGAATGGCCACTTTAGCAAATCTAACAGCCCACACTGAAATCCACGACACAGCAGCTTTACTTCAGCTCCATAGCAGTGGTCACAACTGTGCATCCACCTCTACACGGCTCCAAAAAACACCAGAGGGATCCGATGCAAGGTAATGCAGAGTATTTGTCCTTCATACTCCTTGCTTTTGCCCCCAGCAGCAATTCTGATGTCAGTAAGTTGTTCCAATAGCTCCCATTCTTAACTGGAATTAATTTGTACGTCACAAAAATCACTCAGTTTGTTAAGTCATCCCTTTCCATTAGCTTCCCCTTTCCACGGGAAAAAAAACTGTACACCTCATCCAGCTCCAGGAAAAGTAAGAAACCGGACTAACAGGGGAACAGAACGAAACTGGCCTCACTTCTACTGACCTTGTCTTCAAAGTCATTGTCTGTAGCACGTGTAGGTGGYTTCTCAGGGTACCGGTACACAATGAAGTCTCGCCTAGAGAAGCAGAGGGAAAACAAGACTAGCAAGAGCAGACTTTCAGTAGAACCACACTACGAAGTGTTTGCAGGGAGTCGTTTAGAGCTGTTGGTTTACAGACAAATCAAGCAAAGCACTTTTCCTGATAAATGAATGCTGCAATAAAGGAATAGCCAGATGAGTAAACCCATCTTGAGGGGAAAATAAAAATTATCTGTGAAAGACCATGATGTTTACTCACAGATTAAATTAAGTACTTAGGCTAACAGAAGAGTGCTCAGACACTGACACAATTCAGTTAAAGTGATTTAGTAACTCTTCATTAGGACTAGAACCTCAGTGCAGGGAYACAATAATTCTTGCCCGACTTCAGTTTGATCTTTTAGGACTGGGACAGAATGAGCCTGCAAAAAGCAGCTTCTAATTTCTACCACTGGAGAGACAGATTACTTTTCACAGATAATAGCATTTTTAGCAAGGCAGCATCACYTGAACAGTTCTGTGTTGCCTCTGAAATAAAAATCAGTGTTTATACACCAGGCAGGGCAGATACTCCTCACTTCTGGAGTTTACAAGAACACCTACGTCAGTTTTAGCCATGCTTATAACTACCCCACAGGGTTTTCACTATGCACACCTTCTCGTTTTTCCCCATTTTCCATCCTTCAACYACTAGAAACAAACACTTGACACTCAAGTTTAACATCAGCAAGAAGATAACAAACAAACATCCCTGGAAACTGTCCCTCCCCTTAATTCCCACTAGGGGAACAAGGGCACAGTTTATATGTCAGTTAAGTACGACTTTTAGGGAAGCATTTCTCGTCACGTTTCACACATTCACCCCCCCAGTGACATTTGGAAGATTCTGGGGCCAGAACCCCCACACCCACAAGTCCAAAACAAGGTGAAACTTCAAAAAGACATACTTACTTGTACATCACTGATAAAGCACCCATTTCCAGCTGRCCAGCACTTTCCTATGCAAGATTATGAGATGACATGACATAATAAAAGCATTTAAACACCAACAACTGTATTCTAAGCTTCTGTAGTATTAAAATATATATTCAAACTCATCAGGTTGTTAAAACAATCAATATATTGGAAGTTGAGATATAAGGATTTAGGGGAGAGTGAGGTAAATGGGGTCTGCTACATGGGATGACCACAATTRCCAAAATTATTAAGATAGAGCAGCTCTGGCAGCAAATCAAACACACCGCTCAAGATACAATTTTTTAAACSCACATTGGTTCCAGAAACTGCTGCATTCACCAAGGTTATTGGTCAAACTAAAACAAAAGTCTGAACAGTAAAGGAAGAAGCAGGGGATTGCAAAAACTGACAAACATTTAATRTATTTTGCTTTTTCCTTCTTAGAGGAGAACTACAGTTATGAATAAGCTTTTACCGTCCAGCCCCTTTACTCCCATAAAAATTCCCCACTAAAACTAGTATTGTTTATACATGTATAGTTTATTCACATTTACTCACTACAAACCCTTAGTATTAMCTACACAAATGAGACCCCACAAACTCAAATTTTAACCCCACAAACATTTTAAATCATYGTCTAAATACCCTCCTGTTCTAGTYTCTAAAAACTTCAATCTTTTAGTCTTAGAGCAGTCTTACCTTTGGATCTCCTAGTCGTTCTAGGTATTTCTCAAATGACCCTTCCACATACTTTAAACAAAACAAAGAAGAACACAAATAAGAACTTCAGCAGCTGGGAAGCAAAGTTAAATTTAAACCTAAATACTACATGACAGCTACTAGCTGTTGAATTGGAGGGGACAGGGCAAAGTCTTGGGATATATTACAGGGGAATGATAAGGGATATCATCTGGGGAATAGCAAGAGATGCAAAAAAAAAGATATTAAGGATATTGAGTCCAAGTAATACTCAAGTCCCTCCTAGATTAGATTAAGAACAAAAAAAAATCCAAAACACAATCCCCCAAAAATCCACCAACACCATACAAACCCACACTGCAGATACACCAACTGCCACAGACAAAACCAATCAAAAAACCCACCTCAAAACCCCCTAACTTTATGTAATTATTTCAGAATGTCACACCACCTTTTAATATTTGTTTCTTGCTCCACAATCCTACACRCTTTCCACCTACTAAATTCTGCAATAGTTGCTCCACAGAGATTACACTACATAAATAATACTCACTGCTTGGGTTTCAGTAAATTGRTTGAATGCAGGAACTTCAGAGACAAAGTCAAATAAATCTTGTSCAAGCAAAACTCAACCCTGCCATTTCTCCTCACTTACAAGCCTCAAGTGTGGCAAAGCATCGTGTTCTCGGTACTCATACTAAACCAGTCCCCCTTCCACAGCCCTTCCCTCTAGGTACCCAGCTGTCTAACACGCAGTACTTACGGATTCAAACCTAGACTGGTGCTCCCTCATAAACGAGACACAAGCTTTTCTAACTTCTGCGTGATAAATTTGAGTTGAAAACAGCTGGAAAAATAACGGTATGAAAGGAGAAAACGTCAGTCTTGACGCCTCGCGTTATTCAGCCCGTAGGCTTTACAGACTAACGCCACCACAACAAGGGGCAGKGCAGGGGGCCAGGGGCACCGGCGCACACCTGAGGGAAGCCCAAGCGGCCGGAGCCATCGCACCCATCCCCACACGCATTCCCACCCATCCCACTGCCGCAACCCCGCTCTGGGCACTCGGGCGRATCTCCAGGAGCACTCCCGGAGCACCCCCGGCCCACCCCCGGCCCGCCCCAGGCCTGAGGCGCCCCGGCTGCCCCCAGCCCGGCCGGCTGCGTACCTGCTCCGAGACGGCTCGGAAGAGGCACGAGGCATCCTTGGCCGTCATCTTGCGGTACAGCCCCAGGCTKCCCAGGTAGTCGTCCATGGCCACCTCGCTGAAGGACTTCTGCCCGAAGTACTTCTTGGAGCCCTTGTGCATCTTCCCGGCCAGGGCGGCTGAGGCGAGCACGGAGAGGCGAGCACGGAGACGCGGGCACGGAGACGCGGGCGAGGCGCGAGGAGGCCGCCACGGGGGCGCCGCTAATGAACCCCGCTAATGAGGCACCGCGCCCACCTGCGGGACTCCCCGGCCCCGGCCCCTCGCATCCCGCTGCACTGTCCCCGCCGGGCCGCGTTAGGCTGGCCCGCTGGCCCTCGGCGTGGCTGCGCATCCAAGCCGCGGCGAGCATCTCCGTCTGGTAAAAGGGCTCTAAGCTGGCTCCATCCAACTTCATCGGTCACCGAGCCCCTGACTGCCARTAACCAGCGGGACCATCAGCGCAGTGGCTGTTCAGAATTCCCCTGCGTGCTCCCGAGGCAAGCTGCTAGCAGTGAATTTGAAATAACAGCTCCATGGAAATCGTTAAGGGAGTGAAAAATCTTAGTYGCTCCTTATCAAGTATTTGAGGCAAACTTTGGGATTTGGCAAAAGTGACCCTTGCTCAACTGTGCGGTCGGATTTATTTCACATGTAGTCTTTTGTGCTTGATTTGATTAGAATGCCCGTATGTATTTTTAATTACCTCATWAAAATTGTACTTAAACATCAGATGCAGTAATACAAGTTTTATTTTCTTGTTTTAAACAACAAAGCCCCCGAACCAATAATGTCCGTGTAGGAAGTGCTATTAGCACCAATTATGTGCACTTCTAAAATTCTAGAGCATGAGAGACCTAAGAACATGCATGAATATTTTAAAGTTTAAGCCCCTTTTGGTTTTCAAAATATTTACTTGAGTAAATCAATGTAAAATCAACAGTCGTCAATGTCAATACCTTAAATGGGAAGCTCTGATCRGCATCAAAGAATCACAGAATGCCTTGGGTTGGGAGGGACCCTAAAATTCATCCAGTTTYAACACCCCTGCCATGGGCAGGGRCACCTTCCACTGTCCCAGGATGCTCCAAGCCCTGTCCAAGCTGGCCTTGGACACTTCCAAGGAKGGGACAGCCACAGCTRATCWGGGCACCCTGTRCCAGGGTCTCCCCACCCTCCCARGGAACAATTTMTTCCYTACRCATAATMTAATAGGAAACAYTGGGTGTGCAGAAGTCCAAACTAGTGGGTTATGATGAGGTAATACCATGTAGATGGAGTGATTGTATTGCCAAGCCTGTCCCCCTCCTATGTTGTATTTTGTGGGTAAATCACCCAAAGCCAGGGCAGCTGTGGACACTTTGGCAGCAGATTTACAGCTGACCTTTTTCACCTGGATTCACCACATGCCTTTTTCCCTTCTTTGAGTCTTAAGTCTCTCACTTTTAAGCTCTTTTTTTCAGTGCTTCTGTAAACACGTGAACCAAGAGCTATAAAGGCATCGGCAGAACATGACAGGAACATCAACGTAGACAATTTATTTCCACCTGTACTTGGYAAATATGGTCAAGAGACCACTATGCATATGACATGCCTTTTAAGTAGTTGAGCTTGTCCTCATCATTGGAATTACCATCCCAGTGCAGATTTTTGTGATGTAAATACGTTGGCTAATGAAACTAGACAGTTCCTACTCCATCCTTATTGGCATTGTGCTCCTTTAAGCCTAAAGCTGGATGAGACTAAATTGGAAGCCATTTAATGTCAGTTAATACTAGGTGATATTTTTTTAGAGGATTTGGCCCAGTTGGTGGATATTTAGTGTTGAAGGCCTCAGTAGGAGATGAGACATTTTATTCTAACATTTTTATTTCTTTGTTTTGTTTATTGAAACCCAAGAACTTTATCCAAGAACGAAGCAAACTTTTCTGGCTGTCCAGGAGGAAAAGGTTTTAAAGTTGACAAGTCCATTGACTGCAATGTCTCCACAAGAGTGCTGTAAAAAAAAGACCAAAACCAAAAATTAAAGAAGAAAAATCCATCCCAAAGGGAATTRTTTCTTTATACACACAATTTTCTTTCTATTTATCCATACATAATTCTTTAGCATGGAAATATAAATCAGGACATGCAAGAGACCCCAGAGAGCACCAGGCCCTAGCCTGCGCTGGCTCGTAGGCAGCATTACTGAGAACATAATTCCATCAGCTTTCAAACAATTTCAGGGCTTGAACATTCTAATTTTCTGTGGTTGCAATGCTGGGATACTGAACAAGATCTGAGGCTCTCCCCCATAACCATACCAGGAAATTCATCCTGTTTGAACACATGGCAGAGCTCTCCCCTGATCACAAAGCCAGAAAGAACAGCTACATCAATCTGTTACTTGCTATTATCAGGCTGCAAATAAGGCTCAAATGCTTGGCACTGCCCAACAAAAAGAAATAAAAATTCCACAGCTGACAGAAGCACCAAGATAATGAGTTTAAGAAACTTGCTCCATGTAAATGAAYGCCAGGCCTAGTCTGTTCAGAAAGCTCTTCTGAAACATATGAAATCCTACTTGCAAGGCAAAGGAACAAGATGCAGACAAAGTAGTGGGAGTTACAYTTTCTCTGCCTTCAGTTTAAAAGTAATCTGTTACTTTTAGAAGGGAGTCAATCAGAAGTAAATAAAAATCAGTAAGACATAGTCAAAAACAGGAGAGGAAATAAAACCCAATAAGAGTCAGAATGAACTCTAAAAAAATGAGTTGGGGGTAGGGGTGAGATTTTTTTTGGTGTGTTGTTTGTTTGGTGGTTTATTTTGGGGTGGGTCTTCTTGTGTGTTTTAGTTTGGTTGGTTGTTAGTTTTCCTTTTTTTTTTCCCTGAATTGACAGCAGTAAAACACCTTGTCGGAGGTTATGGTGCATTCAGGAAGTTTGGTGAAAAGGGCAGCCTCAGTGAGTACTTGAAAGACAAAGGTGTTGAAAGTTACTAACTAGACAATATCTAATTTATTAATCCCCTGAGTCCAAGTAATTAAAAGGATAAGAAACACAAGACAGAAACACAAGCAAGTCCTGTATGTTCTTGCCCTGTTTCTGCTTTTGCCTGGGCAGCTGCATATGGCCACTGCAAACAGGACACTGAACTGTACAGACTCTTGATCAGTAAGACCATTCTTACGTTTTGTTCTACATACTCCAGATACTTTGTGTTATGTCAGTGAATCCAAAGCCAACTTTACTGCCCTTTACAAGGAAAATCCAGATAGCAAAATGATAGTCCTAAGTCTGCAGGGACGAATTGACCCTCTGTGGTTTATGGTTACAAACTGATCTGATGGTCTGGGCTGTTTTATTCCTAGACTTCAAAAAAAAAAAAAAATCCAACAACTAGTGAAAAAGAGCAGAGAGATAGAGTAGCTGTTAGGTACCTCTACTGTGCTACCTGACCCTTCCAAGTTCAACCATTTCTATTTAGCTTATATTATTCTTCTTTTAATGTGAATACATGTGCCCTCAAATGGAAAAAAAAATATTAGAAGAGAGCATGGTCAAAAGGCTTGGTAAGTGTGGTAAATTAGTACCTAATCTATCCACTCTGAAAAATCTAATATCYGGATGGATGTTACAGAGAAGGATGTTCATTTCCTTGTTACATTCTCAGTTCTGCAGTAACATGAAATTAATGTTCTTGTCCATCTAGCATAGCCACAGCAGCTCCATACCTGCAGTTGCAGTAGAGGACATAGCCATCCCTGTGGAGCTGTTTGGCCAGTTCAAGCTGATGGTTGTCCATCAGCTTGTCATTTATTACTACTATTAGTGGCTTTCCTTTTTCTAGAGTCTCCAGGCAGCTGCCGGCACCTACAAGAGAAACAAAAAAACACAGTGAGTGATGAAATATCCTAATACTTGCTCCTAGAACAGGGGAGACTGTTAAACAGCCCACCTCTAGCTATGGATCTCAACATTCCCAGCCAGCCCACCCCTGAGCCCGAAAGACTTCATCCCCCTAACCTCCTACAGCAGGTCCCGAGAAGTAAAYGGGGCTGTACCTGCGTGGCTGATGACCAGGTCAGCGCTCTGCAGGTCCTCAGCCAGCGAGTCCTTGAAGCGGAACACTTCCACCGCCAGKGCCCCGCTGCTGCCGGGCTGTGGCAGCGAGCCCCGGCCCACCTGCAGCACCAGCTTCTGGAAACCGCGGCTGTGCAGCGCCTGCGGGCAACGGGAGSGGTGAATGGAGGGGATAACGGGGAGAGAACGGCGGGAGGAAGGGAGGGATGGAGGAGACGGGGATCAGAGGGGGATGATGCGGAGGGATGACAGCGGTGGAATGAAGGGATAAGGCGGAGACAGAGGGGGTGTGTGAGGGGTGTGTGAGAGATGTGTGGAGAACGTGCCCAACTCGGGCACCGCGGCGCCTAGCCCAGTTCCCGGTTACCCCGGCCCCCGTACCGCTGCTCCTCCCTCCCCACTCCACTCCACTCCACTCCACAGACCGACCCTCCCTTTCCTTCACGCCTGTCCCCAGGGCCCCCCGGGTGGCTCCGGCCGCCTCAGACAGCCCGGCACCACTGCCCGGGAGGGCGGGGCAGCTGGCGGCGCGCAGGCGCCAGCCCCGGGCAGAGCAGGCCCGCACCGGAGCGGGGTGCCGTGTCTCGGCCGCCTGACCTGCAGCGCGGGCGGGGAGCGGGCGGCGGCGATCAGCTCATCGAAGCTGGTGGTGCCCACCGTGACGAACACGGACTTCATGGCGGCCGGGACGGGCCGGCCCCAGGACCGCCAGGGGGCGCCGCCCGCCCGCTCAGCGCTCCCGAAATGGCGGCCGTGCTGAGGGGCGGCACCGGGCGGGCGGGAACGCCCCGATCCCTCACGGTTCGGCCCACCCGGCCCTTACGGCCGCCTCTCTTCACGCTCCTTCCCCGCCTGTTCCGTCCTGCTGCCTTCGTCCCGGTGAGGCAGGTGCCACGGTGTCACACCTGCAGGCCGCCTTAACGGGCCCGCTGTCCGGCAGCGTTTAGCGGGATAGCTAAGACTGTCTCAGGTTTTTGGGCTTTCAGGTAAGAGAGGTAAAAAAGAAATTTGGAAAGACATTCGAAAAGTTTTGTCCTCTACGTGTTCTTTCAGCATTGGGGACACATATTTCCTGGATAGCCTGACTGGGTGTGTTCAGAAATGCCAYTGAGCCACCCTGCCTTTACAGACTGACAGTGACCCAAACCTGAGCCTCCCACAACACTCACTGAGAGTAATACTTCAAAAACAACAAAAACTCTGAATATTAAATATGTTAMTACAATCTTGTTCACTAAACACTAGGAATGAGCCTACTGTTGCATCCCGAGCAGTTGCACGAATTCAGCGAGCAGTTTTGTTTCTCAATTGCGAGCGTTACATGATGCACCATGCTACAAAAATAAACTGAAGTTAGAGATCGAAATCTGTTTCTTCTCTGAATTAAATTTAACAGCTGAGGTCACAACTATGCACTGAGTGTTGGAAGAACGATGCAGAAAAGATGCAGCTGCCTTGAGGATACCTCTGATTGCCATGTTAATKCCTCGTTCACAATGCTCATTAGCCCCCTGTTGTTTTCATTTAGCATAATGAGCCACACTGAAATGTATTTATTTTTTGATTAAAGCAAGTAGTGCAGATAGCAGATGCGGCGTTTTGTCTGGGGGAAAAATTCTGTAGAACAAAACAATATTGGTGTCCTGAGCACACAGGGGACTTAGTGGCTCTGCCAGCCTCACTTAGCTCTTGCTGTTGTCCCTCAGGAAAAGGACTCTGGAAGCTGAGCCACAACACGAGCCAGGTAAAGACCTCATCCACAGGACGGTCTGTGCACTGGAGAAAAGCAAGCAGAGCTCTGGCAGCAACAGGTCCAGTGACCATCCAGCGAGGACAGGGTGACAGGTTCAATCTAGGAAACCCAAACAGTGGTTCAGGAATGGAATTAGCAGCAAAGACACCCACAASTCACCTCTGTCATCCCAGAATGAGAAAGACATGGACATGGTTAGGTGGGACCAGAGGAGGGCCACAAACATGGTCTGGGGCTGGAACACCTCTCCTGGGAAGGCAGGCTGGGAGAGCTGGGGRTGTTCAGCCTRGAGAGGAGAAGGCACCAGGGAGACCTTAGAATCCCTTTGAWTGCCTAAAGGGGCTCCAGGAGAGCTGGAGAGGGACTTTGGACAAGGGCCTGGAGCGACAGGACACAGGGAATGGATTTAAACTGAAAAAAGGCAGATTTAGATTGGATATTGGGAAGGAATTCTTTCCTGGGAGGGTGGGGAGGCCCTGGCACAGGGTGCCCAGAGAAGCTGTGGCTGCCCCTGGATCCTCCCTGGAAGGGTCCAAGGTCAGTCTGGACAGGGCTTGGAGGAACTTGGGGTAGGGGAAGATGTCCCTGCCCATGGCAGAGGGTTGAAACTGGATGAACTTTAGGGACCCTGTAAACCCAAAGCATTCTATGGTTCTACGTAGACCCCAAGGTTAAATAAAGTCYCTGTTAGAGACTATGAGTGGAAGCCCCAGCTGAGCTCGTTTGGGCAATTAAGACCTATGAGTGCCCTGGCAGCTGTTGGACAAGAAGGTAGACTTGGGATGAAAGGAAGATGCTAAATTTTTCAGGTGTTGGAGATGAGGTTCAGCACCTGGTAAAAGACAGGATAATTAAATGTCTGGGATTTTGGTTTGTTTTTTTCCCTGCATCACTGAAAGTCGCTGTTCTCTGCAGCTTGCATTCCCAGCTTCATGCTATATAGGGGCTAGAAGGAAAAATATTCACATGTAAAATTGCAGKGACTTACATTTGCGTTGGAGTTTTCACTGGAGGATACGTTCCACTTGCACATTGAATTAAGCTTGTTAGGGTGATTTTAAACTAAAGAGAAAAGGGAAAACCATCCATTAAGGGACTCAATTTCATGCTAATTTGTACCTGCTGTTTTAATTAGAAGTTGTGTAGGGCATAGTAGAATTTTGCCCATGAGTGCTTATGCTCTGGTCTGTGACAACTGCAGATCATTCTCGAAATGAGGTACTTGGAGCTGATCCTGTGCAGCTCTAAGGCAGGTAGAGGTCATGTGGTGCAGGCTTAGTGCTGTTCCTTGTTTCATTGCTCTGTGTTCCTACAGATGCAATGACACAGTGATCCTGTTCAGAGAACTGACCTGACAATGACTTGTTTGCAGCTAAATCAGCTCACTCAGCTGCACAAGGGAGGTGGCAGAGGTGTGGTACCCTGGATTTAGTCTGGTTTATAGGTCAGGGGATTGCACCTCTGTGCACCCCTTTGTTGTCATGAAGTGCAGCTGYGTTCTCTGGGCCATGTGGCTCAGGCAGCTGAGTGCCCATAGCCCTTGGGGCAAACCTGGTGTGAACCTGGCCCTGCTTGGCTCAGACAATCCCTCTTTGCAGTGCCAACTGTCTCTCTCCAAGCTCTGTGTGTGGGATATTATCAGGAACAGTCCAGAAATAGGGGCTCAATCTGACATAATGTAGTCCTGGACCCCAGGGAGAGRCCAGGAAAGGGCTGAAATGGAAGAGAGGTTCTTGTGAGAGCTCACTCCCATCACTGCTTTAAAGGACACAATTTACATTCTGATATTTTCTTCCTGTGACAACATCTGGGCAAGAAAGTGAAGATGTCATGAATGCAAGCTAGTTTTTGTTGAGAGAGRAATGACATATCCCTCCCTCTTCTCCTTAGCTGGTATTTGAAATGCTTCCGGATAGCTCAGTTTTGAGCATTGTCGCTTTGTATTCAGTTCAGCTCACCACAATTTGCCCAGAAAGCTCTGTAATTATATTATTCAGGGGCAAGAAAGTGCATGAAAATAAACTAGTCAGCTCACATCTGTCTCTGAAAACTACATCCTGCCTTTAGTTTGCTCTTGAAATCTAAAGGCTAACCCACAACTGTTGTGATAAAACACTGATGACCCCTGAAATGCAAGGCCCACAGATAGTGTATCAAATAATGAATCATTAAAAAATATACACCAACAGGAAGGCAGGAAACCTGTATGAGTCCACAAGCTTTGATTTTATTTGAAGGCAAAAAAAAAAAAAAAAAAAAAAAAAAAGCCAGTAACTGGCTAGTTATTGTCTTTCCTAACCCTTGCATTCTGTGCACAGATTGATTCTCCATATGGTTTGTGATACAATGGTGCAGCAGATGACATGAGGCACAAGAGAGCAATTAGAAGACGTCTTCACACTAATTTTACATTATACTTCAGTACTTGTTATGTGTTTATGAATGTGCAGAAAGAGTTAAGGTAGTCCTACTTCTTTTTCTTACTTGCTTTATATAAATTTGAACTGAAAAAAAGGTTTGCTTCCTTTTCCTCTCTCATTTAGATATAAGTGCTGTACCTATGAGGATTGATATTTTTGTTACTATAGGAAACCTTGAAAATTAGATGGAGGATCTTTTGGGGGAATAATTCCTTCATATTACCATGATTCAGAGATGCTTGGTCTGGGAAAAAAACAGTAGCATTTGCCAGGCAAATGTCAGTTTGAAATATTTCATCACATTTTACATCTTTTGGATTGTCTCTTTGTGGGTTTGTTATTTAGCAGCTGGATTGACAGGCAGGCGGCAGATACACAGAGGCTCAGACTGACTGGAGACAGGGAGATGTTGGATCACCTCTTCAGAGCTGGCTGGCAGGAGACAGACAGGGAGGAACACGGAGGAGCTCTGTCTGCTGACTCACATGTGGAGTGGAAAAGGAGGCTGTGACTGAGCCAGAAGGAKTGTCCATCGTCTGACAGCTGTCATGGGTTTTTCTGAATTTTGCCACATTTGATGGTATGCCTTGAAGCCCCAAAGTTACAAGTTCTGGAATTATGGAATCATAGTTTTTAAGGCCTTACAATTCTGAAGAGGAGTCCGAGAAMACCGCTCACTGACTCTTAAGGTTCTAAAGACCAGCACACCAACAGTATTTGTTTTAGATCTATAACTATGTATCTGTTTGTTACTCCYGCTTTGCTTTGTATTTAAACAATGTAATGATTCTTTGACACCCGAGTCTCAGGAAGCTGTTATTCATTTATGACAGTAAAGTGCTGCTGGCCTTTGCTCTCACATGAATCAGGAGGGCACCTCTACGCTTGGATACAGCACATGCTGTGTTTCAGTCCTTGGCTCAGCTGCTTTGTACCAACCCCTGAGCTGGATCCTTAGGGATGCTCCAGGCCTCTGCTAGGTTTGTATCCGGAGTGAAATGCCTGCCTTAAAGAACCAGAAAATGGGCTTCATATCAAGTAAAATTTCTCAGAGCTGGCAATTTTCAGTTTGTGTTTGAGTTATTGGGAGATTAAAGGGAATGGAAGAGTGGTGGCAAACCAGGCCAGTGTGYAGAGGCAGGAGGGAGTCAGAGGTCTGTTGCAAGGAGTGTTATCATGGATATGAAGGCTCAGGGTGGTGACGTCTCCTGGCAACTGGTCCCCTCAGCTCCCCTGGGATGACAGCCTGGCGCCGCTCCTCGCTGTCTGGGGAAACACACACCATCATTCCTGCCTGCTGGCCACCAGCAAACACCTCCACAGCAGGCCACTRTGTGAACACCCTGCCATTTCATATTCCTGCATAATCCCTCTGACAACCAAATCTATTAAAAATTCATTCCCATCCAGGCAAATCAGACTCCCTGAAATCAATTGAGCTTTGTTCTCTGAGGGCAGCTTGTGCTGGTGCAAATGTAATCAAATCCTGAGGTGCCTTGCATGCATTTTTACAAGCATTGAGATGGAATTAATGTTTCAATTATTCTTTTTGATGTGCATTTTTGAAGAAAATTAGAATATTATGCTCAAGTAAACCAACAGTTTTAGATGTTTAGG